CACATCCATGAAAGTGAAAAACTACAACACAATAGGAAATTAGAATTCCAGAAATTTTTTCATATTTTCTGAGGAGAAAATTTATGAAACCAATAAGTCAATTTGTGGGGAATTATAAGATTACAAGGATCCCAAACCATAAAATTTATGGAATAACATTTCTTTTTTTTTTGGTACGTGCCCCTAGTAGGAACCAAACCCGGGACTCTCTGGTCTACAGGCCGATGCTCCAACCACTGAGCCAAACTGGCCTGGGCAAGGAATGACATTTCAGTGGAGCAAAAGGCTGAGTCTGGAGATTAAAAAATTATAGTTTAAAATTTTCATTTTGTATTTGAATTTCTATATCCTTACTTTCTAGTTGTTTTTTTTTTTATATATAGCAGCAGCATTTTTATTTATTTATTTTAAATGTATTGTTGAGAGTATTACAGATGTTCCCTCCCTTCCCCCACCTTGCCCCTCCACCCAATTCCCACCCCACACCAGGCCTTCACTACCCTGTTGTCTGTGTCCATGGGCAATGCATATGTGCATATAAATTCTTTGGTTAATCTTTTCCCATCCACCCACCCTCTTCCCTCTGATATTCTCTGTTCCATGTTTCTATGCCTCTGGTTCTATGTATTCATCAGTTTATTTTGTTCATTAGAGTCTACATATAAATGAAATTATGTGATGTTTGTTTCTTTCTGACTGGTTTATTTCACTTAGCATAATCCTCTCCAGGTCCCTCCATGCTGTCTCGAAGGGTAATAGGTCCTTCTTTTTTACAGTTTCATAGTATTCCACTTCTAGGAATATATGTAAAGAATTACTTCCTAGTTTGACATTAACTCACTGTTGCTAATGTATTTGTCAAAGTGGTACTTAATACATTCTCCCTTTTTTCTTTTCATTTATTAAAATTTTTAAAATTGACATTATTACAGACTTTCCCCATTACTCCCTCCGACTTGCCCACCTCCACCTTCCCCCACTATCCCATCTTTTGGCCTTTACCATACTATTTTCCATGTCCATGAGATATGCATTTATGTTCTTTAGCTAATCCCTTCAACTTCTTTATCTAGTCACCCCATTTCCCTCCCCTCTGGCTCCCTCCAGTCTGTTCCATGTATCCATGTTTCTGGTTTCATTTTGTTTATCATTTTATTTTGTTCATTAGATTTCACATATTAGTGAGATCCTATGGTATTTGTATTTCTCTGACTTGCTCATTTCGCTTAGCACAATGCTCTCCAGGTCTATCCATGCTGTTGCAAATGGTAAGAGTTTCTTTTTTATTACAGCCACACAGCATTCCATTGTGTAAATGTACCACAGCTTTTTTTTTTTTTTTTTTTTTTTATTCACTCATCTGCTTTTGGGAACTTGGGCTGATTCCAGATCTTGGCTATTGTAAATAATGCTGCTATGGACATAGGAATACATATATTCTTCTTGATTGGTGTTTCAGGCTTCTTAGGATATATTCCCAAGAGTGGGATTGCAGGGTTAAATGACAGTTCCATTTTTAATTTTTTGGAGAAACACCATATTGTTTTCCATAGTGGTTGCACCAGTCTGCATTCCCAACAGCAAGGTACTACAGTTCCCTTTTCTCCACATCCTATCAGCCCTTGTTATTTGAGGATTTGTTGATGGCAGCCATTCTGACAGATGTGAAGTGATACCTCATTTAGTTTTAATTTGCATCTTTCTAATGATTAGTGACATTGAGCATTTTTTCATATGTCTGTTGGCCATTTTGTATGTCCTCTTTGGAGAAGTATCTATTCAGATCCTTTGCCCATTTTTAAGTTGGACTGGTGTTGAGTTCTATAAGTTCTTTATATATTTTGGAAATTAACCCCTTATAAGATGTATCATTGGCAAGTATTGTCTCCCATACAGTGGGTTCTCTTTTCATTTTGTTGATGGTTTCTTTTGTGGTTTAGAAGATTTTAGCTTGACGCAGTCCCATTTGTTTATCTTTTCTCGAGTTTCCCTTGTCCTCAGAAACATATCAACAAAAATATTGCTGCAGCAGATGTGTGAGATTTTACTACCTATGTTTTCTTCTTGAATTTTTGATTTTGCAACTTAAAAATATGAAATGCTTCACGAATTTGTGTGTCATCCTTGTGCAGGGCCATGCTAATCTTCTCTGTATTGTTGGAATTTTAGTATATGTGCTACCAAAGCAAGCATGCAACTTACAGTTAAGTCTTTTATTTATCTTGAGTTTATTCTTGTTCTTGGTGTAAGTTGGTAATCTAGTTTCATTTTTTGCATGTACCTGTTCAATTTTCCCAATACCACTTATCGAAGAGACTGATCATATGATTAGAGATAGAAATAATTGACATAAATCCAAATAATGTAAAAGTATAATGTAATTTGAAAAATGGGAGTCAGAGGAAGAAAAACAGAATGAAGGAAGGGAAAATAGAATAATTTTTTTTCATCTTTCATCATAGAGTGTCACTAGACACTATTTAAATTTGAATTACAGAGTCACATAAATACTGTGATTTCCAGAGGAACTAAAACCAAACATTGTTAACAGTGCTTATCTCTGAAGCCTGAGTGGGTAGAAGGATGCTAGGAGAGGAAGTCTTTTACTTTTTGAAAACGTAGAATTAAAATTGTCTTTATTCACAGCATACATGATTATCTACATAGAAAATCTAATGGGATCAACAAAGAAGCTACTAGAATTAATAAGTGACTTTAACTTATCAGGATATACTATCTCTATAAAAATCAACTACATTTCTCTACACTAGCAATGAACAAAAGGAATTTTAAAATAGTATCATTTATAATAGCACCCAAAATTTGATATACTTAGGGCTAAGTCTGACAAAAGATGTGAAAGGCCTGTATACTAAAAACTAATAAACGTTACTGTGATAAATTAAATAAGACCTAAACAAAAGGAGAGATATAGTCAGCCCTCGTTCATCACAGTTAATCAGTTCCAGACTCTACAGCAATAAATGAAGTTCCGTGAAGTAGGATTCTTTATTTATACACAGTTGTCCCTCGCCACTTTGTGCTTTCGACTTTTAATATATAGTATTTGAAAAAACCGTGATAGAGTGAAGCCGCGAAAGTCGAAACGCAAAGTGGCAAGGGAGGACTGCTTATCTTTTTCATGGGTCAGAAGACTCTATGCTATTAAAATGTCAATTTTCACCCGATTGAACTACAGATTCAATACAATACCAATCCTAAAATCCAGCAAACATTTTTTGTAGATATTGGCAAGTTGATTCTAAAATTCGTATGGATATGCAAAGGACCTAGAGTATCCAAAACAACTTTGGGGGGGAGGGAACACAGAAATGGAGGGTTAATACTACCTGAATTTAAGATAATGTGGTATTGGGGTATAGACAGACAAACATACCAGTGGAACAGAATAGAGAATCCCCAAATAGACCCATACATATATGAACAACTGACTTTTGACAAAGTGGGAAAGGCAATTTGGTGGAGAAGGATAGTCTTTTTAACAAATGGTTATGGAACAACTGGATGTCGGTATGAAAATTGTGAAACTCAACCTTTATCTCACATCCTACATAAAAGTTAATTCAAATGTCTCATAAACCTAAACCTAAGAACTAAAATAATATAATTTTGTTAGTAAAATAGTAGATAAAAAGCAAATGGTTAGCCAAAGACTTCTTAGATAAAACAAAAAAAAGTTACAAAGTATAAAATACATAATAATAGATTGGACTTCATAAAAGCTCTTTGAAAGATACCTGTAAGGAAATGAAAAGGTAAGCCATAGCACTGGGAGAAATACTTGCAAAATATGTATCTGACAAAAGACATATATCTAAACTATGTTTAAAACTCTTATAATTCAATACGAAGACAACTCAAAAAATGGACAAAATATGAACAGATATTTCATATAGAAGACATATGAATGGGCATAAAATATGCTCAACATTACTAGTCATTATGGAAATACAAATTAAAATCATAATGAGATATCACTGTACATCCACTAGAACAGCTAAAATTAAAAAGATATTTTAATCCTTGCCAAAAGGTTGACAGAATGTGGAGCAACTAGAACTCTCATACTTTTCTGGTGGGAATATAAAATAATAAGGCTCTTAGGAAAGAATTCCAGCAGTTTTTTATAAAGCTAAACATACACTTATCATATGACTCAGGAATTTCACTCCTAGGTTATCTACCAAAGTGAAATGAAAACATATATCTACAATAACACATGTACAAGTGCTCCTAGAAGTATTAGTTACAATAAAAAAATTGAAAACAAATTGTTTTCCATACAATGAAACACTACTCCGCAATAAAAATAAATGAATTACTGATGTACACAACAATATAGATGGATCTCAAAAATGTCCTGCCAAGCAAAAGAAGCCATAAAAAAACAACAACTTTAAATATTGTATTTTTCATTAATATGGCATTCTAGTAAAAAGGAAAACACAGTGACTGCAGATCAAAGTTTTCCTGGGGTCAGGGGACTGAGGTAGTGGTGAGAGGATTGACTGCAAAGAGCCACAAGGGAATCTTTGATGGTGATAGAAATGTTTAATAGCCTGATTGTGGTGGTGGTCAAATGACTGCATACATTGCTAAAAGTTATCTAATTATGCACTTAATATGGGTAAGTTTTACTCTATATGAATTATATTTCAATAAAGCTGTTTTAGAAAAGAAATACACACTTATTTCTACCTAAAGATGACATAATACTGATTATAAATGTACTTTTCAAATGTCTGTTTTAGCTGTAGCAATTTGTCACAAGGAGTAGAAATTTAGAACTTCAATAGGTGTAGGGATATGTTCATTTCAAAATCCCATCCGAATAAGCATTCTTGAGGATCAGTACTACTTATTGCCTGAAAGCAAATCATGTGAGAGACATCATAGGTTCTTTACCTTCTGTATTCTGCCTTTAGAACTTCTTACTGAAAGTGAATAAACAGATCCTTTATTTATTGCCTTATTTCTTTACAGAATTATCTTGTGTTAATATCCTCTGAGTTGGTCCAATGGCCTTTCTGAAGCCTTTTAAGTGGCCAGATGGGAAGGGAATAGAACAATATCCACTGGTCCAGTTTTTTCCTCTTTTCAAACACTAAAGGGGAAAAAAAAAAATCAAGATGCCCTTAAAATCCTTTTTCTCCAGTTTCTCTAAGAGAGGGGTTAACAAAGCCCAGTAACACTCTTAAAGCTCTCCTGCTGCTAAAGGGAGTGCAACAGAGACTGTCACCATAAGGATTGACTTCTGACTGGGAGCTGAGTCTTTCTCAAGAGAAATTTGACCATTAAGTGCAGAAGTTGCCCATGGATTGCACCAAAGATTATCCCAGCTGGGGTTCCGAGAAGGACTCTGGCAGAATATGGCCAAGGGGAAGCCCTTTGCGGCACAGATCTAAAACACCTTCTTGTCCTGTGGGGCTGCCGACTAGAAAGCACGTGCATTTTAGACTTATAGAGCTTCACAAGAGGCTCTGTAAAGTTTTTTTTTTTTTTAATTAATTAGAAAGAGGCACATTTCGAGTAAACCAAAAACTGGCAAATTTTAGGCTAAAATAAGCAATAAAAATAAGATTATAGGTATGAAGAAAATTTTACCAAAGTTTTTCATTTCATTTGCTTTTTCTCCCTTGATGACTGACTGTAGCTTTGTTCCAAATTCAAGTAAGATTCTCTTCTTTAGGCTGTAGCTTGCCAAAATAACTGTATTCCCCACTCAGGGAATGCTTGGATATCAGATCAGAGACTAGAGGGTGGAAGTTTTACATAGTGGTTAAGAGGGTGGACTCTGGAGTCAGATTCTTAGTCTGGTTTAAATCTTAAACTCTACAAGGTGTGTTGTTTAGGAAAAATTATTTAGTACCTCTGTGTCTGTGTCCTTATGGAGGATAATAGTACCCACATATAGAATTGTCATAGGATTAAGTGAAATAATACATGTAAAAACCTGAACAGTAGCTAGCACATTAAAAAAAAAAAATGCTCATATTAATTAGCATTCTTTTCTGCTGTGAGGCAGAAAACAAGATGGTTGTTTTTTCTTATGTAACCATAGAGACTGCAGGGTAGCATAGAAGTCTCGCAGTCACTAGGGACTTAGTCTCCTCTTCTCTTGTCCCATGTGCTTGATTTGGTCCAAGTTTGTGGCATCCTTTCTCTAAGCAGCAGGTTGGAGAAGGGGATGAAAGAATAAAGGGACATAAGCAAGGTAACTCTTAATATTTCTCAGAAGTGATAATATGAACACTTCTGAATACATCCCATTGATCACAGAGTTTAGTCACAAGTCTCCACCTACTTTCAATGGAGACCAGAAAGAAATCTAAAAAGGTCATTTTGTGGAAAAGGTCCAGAAAAAACAGGAGTTATTTTCTTATAGTTATTTTCACAGAGGAAGGAGACAAGATAACTAGTAATCTTTGTTAGAGTGCTTCACAAATTATTACTTTGTTGTCTATATGGCTCCCAGCTCAGTCTCCACACCTGATTGTTCTTCCTAGCTCATGTGATTTCTTTTGTGCCTCTCCATTTTAATCTGCCACTGAAAAACATAAAATTTATACACACATTTATAAAACTGTGTTCATTTAAAATTTTTCCTTTCTTCTACCATTTCTAAAATTCTGCTTAAAGTTTAACACTATCCTTATATTTATCTTGTACTCATTATCTTGAGATATTATTTTCTAATTTATTCTTTTTTTTTTTTCCAACATCTGTTATTTGACTGACTTATTTGTGAACTGAATCATGTTCCCTTTGACCAAATTCATATGTTGAAGTACTTATTGCCAGTACCTCAGAACGTGACTATCATTGGAGACGGGTCTTTAAAATAGGTAAATTAGTTAAAATGAGTTTATTGGGGTGGGTCCTAATCCGGTATGACCTGTGTCCTTATAAAAGGACAAGATTAGAACATAAACACATAGAGGAAACATCTTTTGACACAGGGAGATAGCCATCTGCAAGTCAAGGAGAGAGGCCTCTGAAAAAAAACAGTCCTACCAACACCTTAATCTTGAACTTCTAGCCTCAAGTGTTTTGAGGAAATAAATTTCTGTTGTTTAAGCCATCCAGTCTGTGGTGTTTTGTTAAGGCAGCCCTAGTTTGTGATTTTATTTGATGTCAACTATGTCCCAAAAAGAAACAGATGACACACTAGAAGAAAGGCACTTTGAGGAGAGTTAAAGTACAAAGGCCTGTTTACTAAATTGAGGGTGTAGGGAAACCAAAAAGGATGGTGTATTAACCTAGGGAACAGTGGAGGTGTTACCACTGCTAAAACCAAAGGTAAGAGGAGAAGGAGGCTTTACCAGCATCTTTAGTGAAGGAATACTGGTATCTGAAGCAACTTTGCAGGGAGGCACATGGGATAAATACCCTGACCTCACTCTCTTCCTGCCCTCCCTCCCTCCAATCTCCTGGCAGTGCTGCCCACTGATGGAAACCATCTGGCCACCATAAAGCATGGGAATGCAATGATGTGGTCCATGAAGACCAGCATTCTAGAAAGGAGGGTGAAGAAGAGCAGTGAGTGAATCTGGAGAAACAAATAAGATATCTAGCCCAGGGGGGAACTATGACATTTAGTTCTCTGTATCTATCTTCTTTTCCTCCTTGTTCCCTACTTTGGATGTCCCACCCTGAATGTACAGATAGCATGTATAGCAGGTCCTCAATAAATATCTGGGAATTGAGTATTTTTTACGCTTAGTAGTTTTCAAGTACTGTCAACATTTTCTTTCCACTAGCTTTTAGAATGTGTCCTCTCACTATTACAGTTTAATCCAAGTCTTAACTATATTTTGCCTATAGAACTACTACTTCCCTCATGGTTTCTTGTTGGTTCATTCTCCACAAATGAAGAAAAAACTAACACACACACACACACACACACACACACACACACACACAAAACAAGCAAAGCAAATAAACTCATGAAACTACAATATATATTTTTTAGACCATCTCAGTTGATTAGACTTTCTGATTACATTTCTCCTGCTCTCACCTTTAATACTGCCTTTTTAGAGTTGACATCAGATTAAGATTGTGGATATTTAAATAAGATTCCTATAAACTTCCTTTTCAAAGTGTTAAAACTTTCAGCCTACCTCACCTGTTTCTGACAGGTAAGCATGGTATCTTTTGAAGTCTACAATAAACTATTAGGATAGTTCTTTTCCAAATAGGATTGCCAAATATAGGAATGTGGCTTTTTCAAAAGATGCTAATAAATTGTAATATTTTGATTATACAACTAAGGTAACAAAAATATTCTTGTAAGAATTAATCTTACTTATGTTGGATACTTCCTTAGTTTACTCTTAGCAGTGAGCATGTCTACTCAGATAAAGCTCTATTTCAGATCTAATTATTTATGTATCATTCAGTTTTGCCATCTTTGTAGCTGGGTCCTTAGCAGGTGATGTGTTTTCTGGGTTTTTACATTGTTGGGACATCGATTTGTACTGACTCAAAAGAAAAGGACATGATTATTTTATATAATTTTACGTTTTATCTTTTTTACTTGATTTGAGCAAGCATTTAATCTTAAAAATGTTCATTTTCAAAAAGAATAGGCAAGTTTAACCATATGAAAAATCTTGTCAGAAACTTTTATATATTTTTTTTCATCCTCACCCGAGGACATTTTCCCATTTTTTGCTCAGGTAGAGTGGGAGGGAGAGAGAGGAACAGAGAGAGAGAGAGAAACATCGATGTGAAAGGGACACATCAAGTGGCTGTCACCCGCACAACCGACCAGGGCCGGGGACAAACTGCAACCGAGGTACATGCCCTTAGCGGGAACCGAACCCGGGTCTCTCAGGACCGCAGGCCGACGCTCTAACCGCTGAGCCAAACCGGCCAGGGCTTATATATCTTTTAAAATTATTCACATTAACATTCCTTGTCTTTCATCAATCTTAAACACAAATTAATGTTCTTTAAGGGTTATTTCCTCTGAGTGAAGAATGATATCAACATTTAAGATAAGTCTGTAGCTACAAATAGGGTATCCCTACAATGTACATCCAATTGTCTTTAGTTTTTTTTTTTTTTTTTTTTTTAATAATGTGTAATTTTATAATGAGGTAAAGAATATGCCATTTTTATACTTCTTGATTTTTTTTTTCTAATCTTTGTGAAACTAGTATCCAGAATTCACTCTAATTTTATCTCAGTGAATTTTAAATTTTCTAGTTAACAACCTCCCTCCCCCACCCACAGGAAGAATGAAAACAAACTAGGACAAATTGAGTTAAATTCAGTTTTCCTATTGTATTTCAAGGCCATTTTATTCATTAAGTACTATGTTCAAGACTTAATGTTTTTCAAGGTTCTCTGAAAATGGTGGGATCTGGAAAAAAATGAAAAGAAACCTTAATTTGAAATAAATAATTAGATGTCTACTATTATGCCATTTGTAAATTCTTAGTTATGCTTTAAAAAATGTTTTTATGGATTTTAGAGAGAGGAAGAAGGGAGAGGAAGGAAGGGAGGAAAGAGAGAGAGAAACATCCATCAATCAACTGCCTCTTGCAAGTCTCCTACCTGGGATGGAGCCTGAAACCTGGTCATGTGCCCTGACTGGGAATAGAACCAGTGACCTCTTGGTGTATGTTCAACAAGCTAAGCCACACTGGCTAGGGGAGTTATGTTTTTTAAAAAAATGTCCGATGTGTTGCCCTGCGGTGTGGCTCAGTGTTTGAGTGTCAACCCATGCACTCAGAGGTCACCGGTTCGATTCCCGGTCAGGGCACATGCCCAGTTTGTGGGCCAAATCCCCAGTGGGGGCCATGCAGGAGGTGGCCAATCAGTGTTGTCTCTCATCGATGTTTCTATCTCTCCCTCTCCCTTCCTCTCTCTCTTAAAAAAAAAAAAAAAAATCAATAAAGAAAAAAAATTTAAAAAATAAATGTGCTATGTGGGTACATTTTAATGTTTGCTATGATATGGGACTGTAAGTTTCTAAAACCAAGTTCTAATCAATACTTTCAAATTTGGCCAGATCTATGAAGGTCTTAAAAATGATCTTAATCTCTTTTTTAGAAAGCTCTAGGTAAAATTTCAAGCAGTACTTGGAGGCAAGTGTTTTAAACATTCCACTGTACAATATATATTTGTGGTGTGTGTGTGTGTGTGTGTGTGTGTGTGTGTGTGTATATGTTTTCCCTCTCAAAATACAAAACAAAATTCACAGAAATATATACCATCACATAAATTCCATTTTCAAAACAAAAAGGCATCAAAGGGGAAAAATTCATGTAATTTGAGTCAGTGATCTTTATTTTTTATTAGTGGCTGAGGTAAGTTGGTAAAAAATATTTAGAAGGGTAAACAAAATTCAGTCATGTTTTAAGATTTGACATAAGTATTTAAAAACAATTTAAAGGGAGGCTTTATAATATATTGTGATGGGGGAGGGAGGGTGAGACACATGACATGTGCCACTGGAAAGATACTTTAGTATACTTAAAATAGGAATAATGGCCTTACAGGAACTTGGAAGAAGTTATTTCCAGGTTGTACATTACATTAATGGGGAAAAAATAAAGGTAAAGGAAGAGAGAGAGAGAGTCAACTTAAGAATGTCTTTAGTAGTTGAAGGTTTTTGAACAAATAAAATCACTTTTAATAAATACTTTTAATTTTTTTTTTCTTTATTGATTTTTAGAGAGAGAGGAAGGGAGAGGGAGAGACAGAAACATCGATGAGAGAGAACATCCACTGGCCACCTCCTGATAAATAGTTTTGATAGAAACTGAATAAAATACTTTTCAGCTTATATTATGGACATTGCTGATTAAGATACAGGAATTAATCTCTACATCAGTTCAAGTTTATTTTGTAAAAATCTATGTGAGGTTCATGTAATTCTTAAGACATGCTGGTGGAAGTAGCTATTAACTTTATTTATAGGAAGCATCTACTCTACCAAAAAAATTTCCTAATTTCACAAAAGTATTACATGAACATTTATGGTAAGCACTTTATTTTTATTTATTTATAATTTTTTTTGTTAATCTTCACCCAGGAATATTTTTCTCATTGAGTGGAAGTGGCGGAGGGAGGAATGGAGGGGAGGGAGAAGGGGAGAGAGAGAGAGAGAGAGAGAAAGAGAGAGAGAGAGAGAGATATGGAGGATCAAACCTGCAACCCTTGACTGAATTGAACCCAAGATACTTTGGTATGCGGCCAACACACTAACTGCTGAGCCACATTGGCCAGGGTTATGGTAAGCACTTTAAACCAATTCACCTGGTGTGCCATCTCTGAAAATTAAATTTTAAAGAACTGAGTTAACCCAAGTCTTTTAATTCTTGATTTGTAAATGTTTCATTCCACCTCCAAAAGCCTTGAGTCTTAACTGTTACGTAGAGAGTTTACATAATTTTCTCAACCTGGTCACAGCACAAAAATTTCTCAATTATGCCTAATATTACCCCAGAAGTAAGTTATATAATCTCCACCATGTTTAAGTAATTTCAATTCCAATAGAAAAAAATATATCTGTAATCATTTAGAGTTCATTT